CTGGGGAATTCTGGGAGTTGAAGTCCACACATCTTAAAGTGGCTGAGGTTGAGAAACACTGGGTTAACATGTGGCCACAGAGCACACAATGTGTACAAACAACAACAACATTGCAGAGTGGACACCCAAGGGGTCCAGGGTAGATTCTACATACCTTCCCATTATAGGCAAATTTTATGTCGTCGTTCTTGACCGAGCAGAAACCAACTCTAATCTAGGAAGAAGGATCCTCTCCTAGAACGAACACCTGCTGAGTAATACTGCATATTCTAAAAGCGTAATTCACACACACTAAAAGCAAGCATCAAGAAACCGGTCAGTGTCCAGGTTGGGCGCTTTTGTGACACGCAGGGATTTTAGAAGTTAAAAGATAATGTGTTGGGTTCAGAGAAGCTGCAGTTTCAAAAATCAGTCTCCCCCCCCCTCCTCCCCCATTTATTCCCTTCCCCCGAACTGGAACATGGATAAGACTGTTTTCCCTCACTTTAGGGAAAAAACAGAAGCCTTATGCAGACCTTTGCTAAATGGGAGTCTCGTGGGGGCAATCCTCCAAAGGACATCCATACCCACAGACTTCACCGATGAATGAGGAGGCTTCTCTGCCTGTAGCTTTACAGGCACGGCCATCCATATGAGGAGGAACCTTGATTGTGAAGGCTACCTGGCTGCACACAAATCAGATGAGGCAAGGTTCTGGGTGGGAGGTCTGCGTGTTTCATGATATCAGAGGGATGTGAACAGGGTTCAGAGTTCCACAGGTTTGCTCTGTGGTCAACATGAATGCCCTAATGAGTACAGAGCAAGTGAGGCAACCAAAGGCCCTTCTATCTGAGCTTTCTGGTACCTGGTGGCTGGTCAGATACTTCCTAGAAGAGGAGCAAGAGCACTCTCTTCCACACTTGGTCCCTATGACATAAGATGTTTTGATTCTGGAAGTAATAAGGAGTCAGCAAGGTTACTAGTTTCTGATAGTCCACTCCTCCCGGAATTTACCCAGTCCCTTTTTCAAAACAGTCTACACTGGGGGCTATCACCACATCTGGTGGCAGTGAATTCCATGGTTCCTTAAGGTCACTTCTATAACACCAGCTCTTACACCACCATGACCACCGCTACCCGAATCCATCCCAAAACAGATTGATATCAATTTCTGCTGACCTCAACATACTGAGAACATGCTTTGCGTGGAAGCGCCCGAGATGCTGCTAAAGCAGTTCTTCCTTTTACTGCTCCTGAACCTCTTTGCAGGAAACTTCAATAGGTAATTCCAAGTGCAAATGCCATGAGAGTGGAGAAAAATTCTCTAGGTGCAGGTTTTCCATACTCTGTATTATTTTATATATTAATTCCTGTCCGTTCCTCTGAATGTCAGGCAAGCAAATGGCCTCCATTTAGTGGAGCTCTTTAAAGTGGAGCTGAAGAAGGATGGGGGGCGCATGGCCTCCTGAAGCCAAAACACAGAAATGTCAGCAGAAAAAGACCCAGCTCTCCTGGGGCTGTGCATTAGGGAAAAGTCATGGAGCAAAGTGAATTGAGGAAACCAGTGGTTAAAACATTTGTTTCCTGCCAAGGGAGGCTGGGCATGCTTTGTCATTCTCCCCATTTCCCTAGCAGCCATGCTACTTTTGCTGACAGGCTTTCTCCTTTTCAGAAAAGGCAGGAGTATCCGTGTGGGGTGTCAAAATCATCAAGATGGCAACTGTGACCACATGATTGAAGCCCTGTTCCCTTTTGCGTGCAATACAGAGGCTTTGATTGCATGGTTGTGCCCATTTTGACTTTTTTGACACCCCTTGCAGACACCCGTGCAACTGGCTGACTTGTGTGAATGCTAATTATCCACAGCACTGAGTCCTTTGTGAAGAAGCCACCTCCAAAATTCAGGCTTGGCGAACCTGTCAATTTGCTTCTGTGCAATGCTACAGTCACAGAAATCAGTTGTGTGTGCAATGGGTCAGAGGTCCAAGAGAAGCTCCCTGCAAAATCACAATGGGGAGACTCCGAAGTGAGGAAGCTACCTGTTTCAGGGACCCTTATGCAGGAGTCTTCTTCAGGACATACCTCCTGAGATCCAGGAAGCCTTCTCCTGATGCATCTTGACCTCCATTCACCCAGTGGGAAATGGACCAGTTTGCAAAGGCAATAATCTGGCAGGGTCTCATTTTGGGAATATTGGAAGAATTGTCATTCATTCATTCATTCATTCATTCATTCATTCATTCATTCATTCATTCATTCAATCCAATACTCTCTGCAGGGCCGCAACAGGTCTCCAAGGCAGAACATGAGCATAAGAATGTGATTCCACTCAAGCTAGTCTCTATGGACAGGTGTATGCCAGGCGCATCCTCTGTTATTTCATCTTGCCCCCCTGAAGGGTTTTAAAGCAAGAGTGGCCCTCTACTTGGGGCTGTGCTGGGTTCTGCAGAACCCTTTGGGGGTTGAGGGAAGGGGCCATGATACACCCGACATGATGCACTCTTAGAGGAGAAAGGAGATGTTTAGACCTGCAACCGCAGAGGTTACTTCCAAGAGAATTCCCATGGCTTGAGACCCAGAGACGAAGTGCACCCCCACCCACAGAGGACATCCATCCCACCTCTGAAAAGGGCACAGGAAGTGCTTCAAGCAACTTTGCCCTGAACCAGAGTAGTCCCCCAGAGCCCCCCTCTTGAGGGCAGGAGGGATACACGCTCATTCAGTTAGCCAACAGCTGCAGAAAGGCTCAAGGAGACACAAGGGAACGAGGAGGTCTTATGAAAGCAAGCACTCTTCTTGCCTAACTGACGGCGCAAACAGGCTCATGCTTTGCACCCGTGTGTGTGTGCGCGCACACACACATGCTGATGGAGTCTTGAGCAATGCCTGTAAATACTGTCAGATTTGGACTCGCTGGACTACAGTACAAGTCCAAAATGGAAGAGGGTCTACTGGGTTTCAGGACTTATTCTGCACCAAACATTGTAAGGAAGGGCCACATTCAATTCCCCCTTCTGCAAGGGAGGTCCTTGGGCAACCTGGGGCCAGTCACTGGCAGCCTAAATGATCTCTCAGGGGTTGTAAGATTAACATTTAGAGGGCTCCTTGGGACGTCAACACAATTATCAGTTGGGGGAGAGACACCAAGTTTTGACTGAGTCTCCTCAGTTTGGCCATAATAACTTAAACACACTAAACCACTGTTTCTCAACCTTGGGAACTTGAAGATGTCTGGACTTCAACTCCCAGAATTCCCCAGCCAGCCAAGTGGCCAAGGTTGAGAAACACTGCCCTAAACCATAAACTGTAGCTTAGCAGTCATCATACCAGGGTTCACTTAAACCAGTTGCCCCAGTCTGTGGTCCAGGGACCCCTGGTGGTCCAGAGAGGTACT